ATCTATAGCTCTGGTGAATTTCAATGGTGAAGTCCTCTGGAAATCTTCAATAATTGTTGTTGATTGCAAATGTGTCTAGTTGTTCCCATTGAATTTGCTTGTAAAGCAGGGAGAATGGCGCTAGGCTTACAGCGCTATGACGTCACTGCAGGAAAATGTCAGGAGGGAGGTGTTACTATATTTGGGCAAAAATAGCCATTCCCAGACTAAGTGTTATCCGAAGAGCGTGAAGAACTCCTAAGGTGTATTTAAATGACACTAGAGTTGAGAAATATGTCCGGAAAAAAAACAAATTTCCTTTTTTTATGCCTGTGAGATTTTTTCTCCATTACATTCTAATCATTAGAATGGTGCAAAAACAATCCCAATATAAACCTGGCACTGAACTCTGATGGCGACAAAAATTATTGTTTTTATTTTTTACTAATTTATGCTAAATTCATAAAATCACTGCAAACTTATTCGTTTTCGGTATAAATAATGATCCATTGATTATTCCTTGCTGACCAGACTTCTCCTTTAACTTAAGCCCTTGTCACACCTTGACGATTTTAGCCATCGTATGCTTTATGTATAAAAAATCTGGCAAAAACCCTGGCATACACTGGATAAGTTATGGGTCAGTTTTCTATAAGTTATGAGCACGGTGAAGCACAAAATTTCCCGATGTATGCCAGCATATGTTCATATATGGGCCATAAGTTATTTGATCGTTGACATACGTTAAGTGTAAGTTACTCATAAATTGTGGTGTCTTGCTTACTATTCTTACCTATGAGTAACGTGTGCATAACTTATATGTAACTTATCAAGAACGTACCTCCAACGTATATCAACGTATTTTACGTGCTCCAGTCGACCGCTGAACATGTTTCCAGCTACAATATCATGGCGTATTGGCAGCATTTTGGTATAAAAGGGGTTCACAGGAGGAAACCATCAGCACTCCTCCAGACTTCAGTTTAAAGATAATACAAAGAAATTATAGCAGCTGATGCCTTCTAATTACAACTTCATAACTCACTTGGCAAAGTTTTTATGCCAGATACAGCCAAGATTTTAACCCTCGTCACCCACATCTAAGTTTCAGGCTCGACTTGCTACAGACGGACTAGAAAATTCAATGTTAATAGCATTATAATTCTGTACAGTTCAGTTTATAAATATCAGCAAGAGAATATTATTTCAAAGCCCTAAACATGACAGATTTGTCCAAATCATGCTAATAGATGTAGAATTATATTTGTCTGAACCTCTCAAACCAATCAAAGCAGCAGTTTTATTTTATTTGCGAAGTCCAGATGAATCTTTATTATTGTCGAAGCAGGATGCATAGCCAAGCAGTACTCTAATTGCAAATGAATACTTGGATGAAAGGTTTTTAGTGGGCTAATTAGAGTTGCAATTCTTTAAAATTCTCCCTGAACAGTTAGCCACTTGCTTTACTTTATAATCTTTATATGTTTTTTATGCATGAAGTGCAGATGGAGCTGTGGGACCAAGACCTTAAAGCTCATGCAGGTTGATATGTTTGCTGTGACAATGAAAAAAAGAAAACTATGAGGAAATTACAGCCATTATCATTATAATGTTCAATAATACTACTGTAATGTCCTAATAATACTATAGCAGCCATTAAAAATGGCCCTTCCCAGTCAAACACCAGCTAGTCAAACCTATAGTTATGCTGCTATAGGTTTAGACTTTTGGAGGACATAGGGACCCCCATTTCATCATTCTGCTTCATTCTCTCTCTATTCTCCTGTTCTGCAGAATCTGTTAGTTCAATCTCTAACGTTCTGCTCTCTCTGCTTTTCCTCAGAGTAGCTTTGCCTCGTCTGTTCCTGTTTGGCTGTGACGCCACCCTGGAGATAAACATCAGCTGTGCTGCTTTTATCAACACCCTTGTTTATAGATGCTGGAGATCGGCCTGTTTTCCAGTGTGGTCCTGTTTCTCTGACAGTGACTGACTGGATGTGCTCTCTTCGTCCTCTGACATGGAAGCTGGGTCGGAGCTTGTCTGCCTGGCTGTGTGTTTCCTGGATGGGGCCGCCTTTTATAGCTCCTTTTTGTGTGTCTGCTTCTGTCTCCTTGAACCCCAGTCGGCCTCTGCAGATGGCCACTCACACTGAGCCTGGTTCTGCTGGAGGTTTCTTCCTGTTTAAAGGGAGTTTTTCCTCTCCACTGTCGCTACAAGCATGCTTAGTGTGAGGGATTGTATTTGAGTCAATGAGTCAATGCAATCAACTGGTTTTCCTTAGATAGAAAACTTTGTATCAATTTGACTGTAAGATCTGGTTGAACTGTAAAGTGCCTTGAGATGCCATGTGTTGTGAATTTGGCATATATAAATAAACTGAATTGAATTGAATGTCAGCCCACTCCCCTGTGACTCCCAGCAAAATCTTCTCCCTGAGCCCAACATATTTCTTTTACTCTGACTTTCACTATATTACAGGGTCTGACCAGGAGATGACATTTCTCTTTAGATCTTAACGTCCACAAATCATGACAGAAAGAATATTTTAGTACAAATATTAATGTTTAAAAATTAATTTTAGGGGACCAGCCAAGGACCCATCAAGGAAAGGGGGAAAATTTTGAATGGCTGCCACTGAATGCAATAATTATTATGCTATCCATCCGGATTAAGTTTATAATTTTTCCATGACATCACAAAAGGAAACATTGCGATACCCAAAACAGACACCTGATCTAAACCAAACAAGTTTAAAGGAAGTTCTACCAAATACTAAGGAAATGTATGTAAATTTTGTTGGCTGTTAAAAGTTGTGTCTGCAACAAAAGTTAAGGCAATGCTTTTAAGATGTGGGCTTTGCTGCACTTCCATGACTTCGGAGGAACCACCATGTTCTGCGTCTTAGCTGCATTACATAACAACTTTATAGTGTAACCGCATCCTGGTCTGTCCCTTAGAGCTGTATAAGGCCAGAGGCCAGGGTGTGGTGCAGTCTCAAAATCATCATAGGAAAATGTAAATCACTAGTAAAGCAGTGAGGCCATCTGAAGGCATTTCGAGGTTATGATAAATATTGGGGACACTTTAGCATTCAGCCATTTTCTAATCTATCTAACCTATGAGACCCGGCTGCACGGTGGACCAGTTTGTAGCGCTGTTGCCTCACAGCAATAATCTTCTGGGTTCGATTCCCGACCCGGGGTCTTTGTGCATGTTCTCCTCGTGCATGGGTGGGTTTCCTCCAGGTACTCCTCTCACATGACTCTGGGATGTCCAGCTCCACTCTTTTAGAAACGTAACATTTTGGTCATTTTATCTCGCATAAATAGCTTAGGTTCAGTTGAATTTGATACATGTAAAGCCAGTCTGGAAAGGTTCATTTTCCAATCTTGCCACAACTTCCACACTGAATAAAAACATTTTCAGAACATGAGTCGGTCACCAACATTCTTCACTGTGTGTGCTTAAATGATAGATCTAACAGCACTCTTCAGGATGTTTTACGTTCCAACTCTGCTACCTCTCCAAACCTTTTTCCTGACCTCTTCAGTGTACCTACCAAGGCTTTTAAGGCTTTCACTGAACAGCCTTATTTCTAATTAGTAATGGCAGATGTTTTACACTAGATTTTAAGTAGAGATCACATGAGATCTCAAATACATTACAGTTGTACAGCTCCACTGAGGATGCCATCTGATCTGCTCTTCACCTGAGCCTTGCACAACTGGAGGGGAAGAACACAGACGGGGGATGCTGTTCCTGGACTTAAGTTCAGCTTTCAACACCATCAACCCACAGCGTCTGATAGGCAAATTGAAACAGCTGGGATTCAATACACCCCTCTGCAATAGGCAGCTAGACTTCCTCACTTGCACCATATATATTTAATGCTCTAAACTTCCATATCAATGCGTTTTGCACCATGATTTTTCTCCTACACTGTTTACATTGATAACTTCTGCACTTTATGAAATGGAAATGTTCATTTCACTGCTAAGCTGCTGCTCATTTACTGTCTGAAAGCTGTACAAAACTAAATTTAATAAAAGTTGTCTAAGTCTAAGTTATTTGATTTACATGATTGCAGTTTTTTCTTGTATCATTTTACTAACATATTGACAAATTTAATTTATAAGATTAAAGTATCTCCAAAGGAGAAGAGTGGAATCAGCTCTTTGCATTTGAGGGTTCCCGAAAGTGGTGGAAAGCAGGTGAAACATTAACTTTTGTTCTGCTGACAAGATACTGCCACTGCTTCCTTATTAGTGGAAACAATGGAAGGCTTGGGGCCAGATGCCGCTCGCTAATGGAGGAAAAGAGTTTGTCCGCTACCTCGGCAACCCACAAATCACCACCTATGCTGCTCTGACCAATCAGACAGAGGACGTTACTGTCCAGAGAGCGGTGCGACATCAGACTCAGCAGCTGTGATGTTCAGCAGAACTGCTTTTTTTTTTAGATAATATCCTCTTTCTTTTTAAATGATGCCCATTTTTAAAGTAACAGGGAATCTATTTGGAGAACTTTACAATAGATATTTAACCTAGATATTTATTCAGTCTACTTTTCAAAGTAAATCTCTTTCCTAAGCTTTTGTTCTTTTCTGGCACTGCGGTGGGTTGATGGCGTGGTTTCATCTGGCTCTGGTCAAAGTGAATTGGACAGCACTTTTAATTTTGGCCCACTTCACTTACCTGCTGATGGGGGCCATCATCTTCCAGCTGCTGGAGAGAGAAGCCGAAAGCAACAACCGCAACCACTTTCAGCTGGAGAAGCTGAATTTCCTGACTAATTACACCTGCTTGGATGGTCCTGCCTTGGAAAAGTTTGTTCAGGTCTCCATTTGATCTTTTCTTCTTTTTAATTGTTGAATATTTCTGAAAGTGAAGAGATTCAGGCTTTTAGATGTACATCTGACTTTGTGGTTAACAAAGGCTTTCATATTATTCCAATAAAACCAATTCATTAAGAAAATATTTGTCAAAATTGGCGTGTGAAGCTGAACAATCGATTTTATTATTAGGTCAGGCGCAGGGCAATAAATGGTTTTACAGCAACTGTCCTGATAAATCAATAAGTATGTCATCATTTCTAGCATTTAACAACATAATTACTCCAATGACTCTAAAAGGTTTCATTCTCGTATTTAAATCCTATTTGATCAATGTATCTGGCCAGTTTAAACATTGACTAAAATAAAGTGTTTTATTTAAGAATTTTCATAAAAATGCCTTGTATAAAAAAACATTTTGACAATGGTGATACTATTTAATTAGTTTATTCAATGTTACCTTCTTTTTGCCGTTAAGTGGTTTTTTAATGTTATCAAAAACCCTGCTTTATTTAGAATTACTATGTAAAATGGGAATGAACAACATATAACTTGTGTTAAATACCTAACTGCTAGTTGTCTAAATCTCATGAAATCGATAGAATCCTTTAAATCTTTCCAAATCTGGTGTAATTTACCCTGACCCCTATTTGGATAAATTTAGACCCAACAGGAGAAAATGAATTGGCCTTGTTGAAATAGAACACGCAGTGCTCTTGTAATTGTATACATTTTTGGAAAATTCCAGAAGCAGTTTAAGTGTAAATTCACAAACAACCATCTACATTTCTCATCTTTGTGTTATGCAAGTTGACTTCTTTTCAATGCCTGTGATCATTGTTGATTTATGTTTTAATGCCTTGTTTTGCCATGTCTGCAGGTAATTTTATATGCCTGGGAAAAGGGAGTGAACCCTTCAGGCAACTCGACAAATCCCAGTAACTGGGATTTCAGCAGCTCCTTCTTTTTTGCAGGCACAGTCGTCACGACCATCGGTAAAGAGCTATGATAACAATGCTGCAAAAACAATCTATAAATAAATTTTAAATCAAGTGTATTTATTTTAATTTGAGTAGGTAAATAAGATGATCTGCCAATGGAATAAGCATCTTTGCTCTTAAAATAAGATAATTAGATAATATGCACTTGAAATAAGACAACGCAATTGTTTTTCTTATTTCAAATGTAAATTGTCTTACCTCCTAAATTCAAGAACAAATGCACTTAGTTTAAGAACAATTTACTTATCTAGATTTCGATTTTTTCCAGTGAAGGTCATATGTTTTAAATCTTTCATCTCTTTAGTTGCTGTACATGCTGATGCATCATCACATCCTGTCTGTTTGGTTCACAGGTTATGGTAACCTCTCGCCGAGCACTGTGGCCGGTCAGGTGTTCTGTGTGTTTTACGCACTGTGTGGCATTCCTCTGAACTTGGCTTTCCTTAAACAGCTGGGCAAGAGTCTCACCATCCACCTTGGTCGACTGGAGAGAGGGATGGTGGCAGTGGTTCCTCACAAGGTGCTGATGTGGTTCTGTTTGCTCTGTGATGCAGCGTGGAACTGATGCTTGTGTGCTCTGGCTAAATTAAATGTTGTTCTCTCCCAGAGAGCAGTGGAAGCCCTGGCAGTGAGTTTATTCTTTATCACCGGCAGCCTGCTGTTTCTCGTCATCCCTCCTCTGCTGTTCAGTTACGTGGAAGGCTGGACATTCGGAGAGGGCTTCTACTTTGCTTTCATTACCCTCAGCACCATTGGTTTTGGAGATTATGTGGTGGGTGAGTAGAGAGGGTAAACAAACCACTAATGTGCTGGAAAGGCCGCAGCAGTTGCCTCTTTCTATCTAAGGCTCCCCCGGTCCCTCTCTGTTGTATAAGTCAGTGAGGCATTGGAAGATTAATGTGTGTCATGAGCTCAGGCAAACTCACTTAACACGTTCTTACATGTTTCTGCTTAAAGGCACCGACCCAGGGAAGGACTACATCTCGCTGTACCGCTGCCTCGCAGGCATTTGGATCATCTTTGCGCTCGCTTGGCTCGCTCTTATCCTCAACATGGGAGTGCGAATCATGGAAAACTTTGTTATCCTTACTCATCCGGGCTTTAAGAAGCATGACGAAGAAGACGAGGAAGTGTCTGCCAGTAAACTAGAAGCCACATCAAAAATTTGACTATGGACTTTGAAATTATTTGCAAGTTATACTGATTTGCTGTTAAATATTGTATTTAGTTTTTAAACTGTATTCAAATAGAGGATGAGGCAAAAGCAGTTTTCATATGTACATATATTAGTCATGTATATTGCCTTCTACCTCAACGTTAAAGTCTGTGATCCGGAATCATATTTTTTTTTCCATTCCCAGATGTGTGTTTGTATACTGCTCCTAGTGCTCTTCTGATTCCCACCCGTATGATTAGATGTTCAAACAGGATACTCTGACCTGAGCTCATTTCATGGCTTTGTGTGTGTGTGTGTGTGTGTGTGTGTGTGTGTGTGTGTGTGTGTGTGTGTGTGTGTGTGTGTGTGTGTGTGTGTGTGTGTGTTCGTTGATGTCGGTCTACATCTGTGCTTGTGTGCTGATGGGAAACTGGTGAATTGAGCACGGACAGCTATCTTAAACCAACACATTAATCAAGATGGTGATGCGGGGTGGAAAAAGGAGGATGACTCTCACCTGTCTCTGCCTTATTTATTTATTTTTTTAACTAAATGAAACGCAACAAAATCCACATATTTGATTTAAAAGTAGAGCGCCTGTCAGCAATCTTCATAAAACCTGAAACATAGAAACATTTGTCATATATTACAACTACAAACATTAAAGAATTTTGTTGGAATTTCTGTATTGTACCAACATAAATGGTTGCATAATAATAAAATATGAGTAAGAAGATCCATCCATCCATCTTCTTCCACTTAGTCCTTGTCAGGGTCCCGGTGAGACCGGTGCATATCTCTGGCAGTCTGTGGGCAAGGGGGGGGGTGTAAAACCTGCGCAGGTCGCCAGTCTGTGGCAGGACAGAGTAAGAAGATATGTGTTTATTTTACAAAAAAACGAAAAAGAATCATCTTTATTTTTTGAGAACCATCTTTGCATTATACCAGAGGAACAATCAGGGTTTTAGGGGTATGTCTCGAAGACCTTTCACCAATTACCCCTTTTTCTTTTCAAAATGGCTCACCCTCTGTCAGACAGTATAGTTGTTGCACTGAAGCCGTATTTTTCAGGGCCTGTTTAATGCAAATCAGCCATTTCGAGCTTTTATCAAGTAAGGGCTGGTTATACTCCCACAGCAGTGTGTCGCAGTGAGCTTGTCGCAGATATGACGCAGATAGTTTTGATTTATGCCCAATTTTAAGCATTGTCTGCGCTATGTTATTCCACGCCACAATGCAAGAGGGACAACCACGAACTAGCTGTGGGTCTAGATATGGCAGAGGCGGTGAGGAAGTGGAAAAACGTAAGGGTAAAGTTGTGCAACGGAAGGACATGAGGGTGGAAAAAGGGTCCCAGCATTCTTTCACACCTCGCTCTTCTAGCTGGTCCATCTTCACGAGTCGTTTTCCACAATGGCGGTCATACATACAAACAAAACACACCGCTAAGGTACAGTACCAAACAGGAACTATGCACAGTGTAGAGTGGATGTTCCAGGCAGATAATCACCGTCCTTTGTAGAACAGAGATGGCCATTTAGTTTTTCTGCTTGTTCCTACCCGACTGATCCTACCCATTGAGCAACATGCCATGTATTACACCTTTATTCTAAACCATTTAGCTATTTTTTATCTTCCCATAGACTCTGACCAGCTTGTCTGTGTCTGCTGAAGAAATGATCCTCACAGCATAATGCTGCCTCCATGAGTTAAGGGGGATAAATGTACAGTGTTAGCTTTCAGTTTTATGCAATGTTTTGCATTCTTACCACATGAGTTAAACATTCGCTCCCTCTTTAGCTATGGATATTTTCTGCTTCTTTGAATAATGGCTTTCTTGCTTGGTTTGTCCTTTTTTAGAGTATGCTCATGTTTTTTGTAAAATGGTAAATGGCCTGTACTTTTATAAAGCCTTTTTAAGTCATGGGACTCACCATGGGAATGTAGTGTAAAATACAAGCTAGGTCAGTAGTAGTGGGAAGCTACGATGTTGCTACAGCTGGCCTGGGATACACAGATATAAGCAAAGCTGCTGTGCACAGGCACCACTGGGCCTGCTGACCACCATTGCTAGGCATTGCAGGTGAAGCCATAGCACCCAAGAATGACACAGCTGGGGCTTTAACCCCAACACTCTGGTTTCAGGTGAAAATCCTACGTGTTACACCACTATCAACCCATTCAGCAGTAGTTTGTGAGGGGCTTTGACTTTTTAATAACCTATTACTTCTTTGGCAAATCTCTCCACAACTTATTTTTGTGGGTCTTCACGATACAGTTAATGCTCAACAGAACAACATTTATTTATTTTATTTATTCTGCAGTTAAATCATATATGGGTTGTTTCCCAGGTGAACACTTCTATGCCCAAACAATGGCCTTAAATTTATTTATTAGTATCGAGGTAAAAGGGTTTGGGTTATCCCTCAGTATGACAAAATATGATAAACTAGGATGATTTTTTTTCTTATTTTTTAAGACATTTTACATTCCCACTTGTGTTGCTGTGTCTCCCTCGCCTTATATTGCTCCTTTGGATTTGCATGTGAGGCCACTGAAGTGATTGAAGCAGTGGTGCACTGGAAAGGTTAATTTGCCTGCAATGCAAGTCTTGCAGGAAAACCCTCTCTTCTCTTTGAACCTGACTGCAGAGGCTGAGACCGGGCTGAAAACCAGAGTTCCGACTGCCAGGCCAAGATGGGAGGAAAGGAGATGTTGAATCTAGCCCGGGTGCCATCTATTCTCATGCTCGGCATGGTTTATGTGGCCTATGTGTTGATTGGTGGTGTAATCTTCTGGGAACTGGAAGGAGAACTTGGAAAAAAGGATCCCACTCCTTTACGCTATCAAAAACAGAGTTTGTTTATGAGGTACAGCTGTCTAAACCAAGAAGGTCTGGAGGAAGTGGCTAAGGTACAGTGCTCAAAAATGTGTGAATATGATAAAATGGATCAATTGAAATAACAGTTTTCATTGCTAATAAGGTAACAGGAAGAGTTTCTAGTTCAACAGATCTTCTATATCACAAACTGACTCCATGATAATACATGCTAAAGTTTTTATATTTCTAGTTTTTTAGTGCACAGGAATACCATCAATTTAGAAAGCATACTCCTGTTTAAAGGGCACTGTTTACGTCCCAGTAACTGCTGCTGGATGACCATTAGGCTCTCAGGCAACACTGAGTTAGAAACCCTCATGTTATTATTACCAAGACATCAAATTTAAAGGAACTTAGAAAGCCATATTGGCTTCAGTATTGGCTTGGGATGAAGCCCAGTAGGATGTAGGTAAAAAAAAAAGTAAAACCCAGCCTGTCCTTTAAATGCAAAAAGAAAAAAAGGGGGATTCATTTGGTTCCTATTTACCATGACAGCATCTATAATTACACAGTTATAATGTTATAATGATCTGTCATGCAGACCTCTGGGAACCCTAATCACACTCGTCCCTTGGTTTGCATTCTGGTTTTATTGTCAGGAGAAATAGAACTTATTAAAGAAAAGCATCTTGCAGGTGTGCAGCTGCATTGCAATAAAGGTGATGTATAATTCAGTTCAGTCTAATTGGGTGTTTTTATGCTTTTAAATCTATTTGGAGAAGATAAATTATGTATTTCACTGTTTTTAGATTAAAAGAACAGATGAGGTATTACGGGTCATTATAAATGCATGGCTTCCTGGTCTTGAATGAACAACGGCATAGAAAATAAATCCTGAAATATATTTCCTCTCTATAATCTTTAATAAGACTAAAGCAACACTTACATTTGGATTCATCAGCTGCATTTATTCTGGTCCCTTTTCTCTTATTTAAGAGATTTAAAATGAACCACAGTTTTCAGGATCCCCTTTGGGTGTATATTCAAAACACAAGTGATGAAGCAACTTGTTGGAGTTTGCTTAATTATAGGTGCAGCCACAAACAAAGGCTTGGGAGCTCTGTTACCTAAACAAACCAAAAGGGGCTTTCAGCTAAACTGTAAACCAGTTACATAAGAGGACAGGATCAGCATCAAAACAAACCCAGAGACAATAAGCTGAATTAGTAAAGTTTGTGAGCTAGACTGATAGGCCTGGATTTAAATTGTTTGAAGGATTATACAGAGATGTTTTGGGCACTAAAAAAATGTTGTGCAGACTGAGACAGACTCTTTTAAAACCGTCACTAGTTAATAACTCATCTGTCATGGGTTAGAAACTGGTATTAACCTGAAGAGAGATGGCTTTAATCAGCTTTTTCTAACTAATATGTTACTTGTCTTAATATTAAGATTTATATATATGTGTGGAAAGAAATCCCTACAAATGACCCAATTTGACTCCTTTTGACTTATAGATAATCATGATGTATGTTAACTATAGCAGAATGAGACAAAGAGGTGGTCTGAGAAAGTCTGGGTTGGAAATGAACCCTGACTGCAAAAATATAAAGTACTTTTGGTTTTGGATGTTTTAGATACTTAAGCTGGTTTAAAGGAAAAGAACATAGATTTACACAGGTGTCTATGATGCAAGAAAATGCAAAGGAGCTTTGTATTTTCTTCATCTAATGAATCATTAAAATTTACATGAGCTGCATTGGATTTACATCCAGACAGAGGGATACATCCTGTAAAATAGAAAACCAACTGTAAGGAAGATAAAAAAAAAAAAAACATATTTGAGGTAGAAAAAATGTTTTAAACGAGAAAAAAAAAACTCAAGATAGGCTTTAATTTTTTTTTGAAAACATTGGAAGGTTAAATCAAGCATTGCAGATGCTTGAAAGCTTACATACACTCCCATTAATTACTGTATAAATTATAAAGTCAAAACTAGTAATTTGAAAAGTAATTATAAATAAAAATGTACTAAATTATAAAATTGCTTTTTCTATGCTTGTTTAAGAAATAAGTATAACAAATAAGAACATAGATAGATAGATAGATAGATAGATAGATAGATAGATAGATAGATAGATAGATAGATAGATAGATAGATAGATAGATAGATAGATAGTGTGTATATTTTCAATCACAACTGTATAACGGAGCCACAGGGGTGCTACATACAGTAATATTTTAGCACACAAAGAAATAATTTGTATCAGTCTGTATCAATGGTATCAGTCAATATACATGCTTATCATCACAAGTTTAATATGCTTTCTCTATTTATCATAACTTAAAATATATTGTTTTGTTGAAATAAGATACATTTTACATGTAAAATGTATTGGAAGTCCAAAAGCTGACTTTCCATCTGTGCACTGTCCACTTGGATTTGATTTGATATCAAATCCAAGCAACAGGCCCAAATTAGAAATAAAAACATTCAAAAGCACGTAAGACTAAAAAGGAAACCCACTTTTATGCAAATATCTTGTGAAAACTTTTAGCTCTGCTTTGCCTGCATGAGTCACGCCTTTGAGGCGTCTATCTGAAAGTTTTCCACGTCCTGTTTGGAGAACATTTGGTTTTATTTAAAGCATGTTAGAAGCAATCCCAATTTTGTGATCTATTTAGAGACTTCGCTGATAAACTTAAGCAGACAAACAGGTGAATCTTTGACCATTCAATGGGTGAGAGACTGTGGTTTGCTTTGTGTCAAAACAAATCAGAAAAAGCTGTTTAGTATGGATAAAAGAAGAACAGAGCTCAAGGTAGAGCTGGGTGATTAATCAATAAAATCAGTTAATCAACTGTTTTGTTCATGAATGAATAAACAGGAATTTGTTTTACAGAATTTCAGACAGACAGGGTGACAAACAAACGATTCAACCAAATACACACAAAAAAGACTAGTTAACATCAAACCAAACCAAACACAAATTTCCAAACAAACCAAATTCACCTGAACATAAATAGAAACAAAACCCTCCACCAAATAAACTTGTCGGTATATACAACCAGAGAAATACCATGATCATGGTTTTTGGACATTGGGAATGAATCACTCTTTCATCTATTGTTCTAACACAGAGCTAGTAGGGCTTGTGTTCATAAACAATATATAACAGCCGAAATAATATCTGATTAAATAAGTTATTTTACCACCCCTACCGGGAAGGGCAATAAACATCTTAAAGTATCAGAAATATAAAAATCCAACATATATATATATAT